GGAGGGAGGGAGGGAAAGAAAGGCAGGTTCTTCTGCAACAGGAAACAATTGGAGAAACTGGTTATTTTACCAAGGCTTTGACTGGAATGGCCTGCTTTCCTTTAAGGATTCAAAGGACTTACAGAGACAATAAAAGCCCCGTGGGTAAAACTGGCCTCATACCTTGTCTATACAGTCCCCATACAGGGTTCCTGACCTGTGGTAAAGAATGTCACTTTCTAATAGGCCCAGGAGCCCCAAGTTATTTTAGGACCTCAAGAAGAGAGGAATTTACCAAACTCATAGGTATTTGAGGATACGAACCCATGACTGGACTCAGTTTTTAAAAAGTCTTATCAGAGATTCCTTATGGAACAGAGTTCTACCAAAGCCAATTTAAGAAGCCTATGTAAAAAATTATTACTTGTGTTGCAATTTATGTAAATAATCAGGCCAAGTATAATAAGACTAATGTTTATTTTGCAAACAAATCAGTCTTATAATGATTTGTTTTTTAATAAAAATGGGGACTGGAGAGAGAAAACTTGTGCTTCGAAAAAATATATATATAGTATACCTGTTGTTAGATGTTCTTGCATTTTTCCTGCAGTTTGGAAGGACTAAATCTTAAATTCTTTGTGGGCTACAAGTCACCAAACTAATGCATTCAAATCTTTACTTTTTAAACTGGGAATTGCACTCTTTACCCTATTCCTCATTATTAACCTTGTAGTTCACTGTTCCCTTAAATGCAGTGCTAAAACTATAGATGACAATAGTAATGCCTTTGCCATGCAAGCCTTGGATCTCCAGCCATGCCTGTGTGAGTATGCTCAGAGCTGCAAAGTGGTTCCATTCCTTTCACCTTGGGGTAAACACCTACCCCCACTACACTCCTGGCCAGCAGGAAGAAGTTAGAGCTGTCTTTGCCCTTTCTCCATCTTCATTAGCTAACACCTGAAAATTAAGGTGTTATGAAACCCAAAGGGGTATGAGACGCGGTGGCGCATGCCTACAATCCCAGCACTTTGGGAGGCTGAGGTGGGTGGATCACGAGGTCAGGAGTTCAAGACTAGCTTGGCCAGCATAGAGAAACCTTGTCTCTACTAAAATTACAAAAATTAGCCAGGCGTGGTGGTGCGCGCCTATAGTCCCAGCTACTTGGGAGCCTGAGGCAAGAGATTGCTTGAACCTGAGAGGCAAAGATTGCAGTGAGCTGAGATCGTGCCACTGCACTCCAGTCTGGGTGACAGAACAAGGCTCTGTCTCAAAAAACAAACAAACAAACAAACAAAAAACGAGAGGGAGGTACTGAAACTACCATTCCAGAACTGTAACTGAGACAGTGAAAGAGATCTGCCCTGACTGACTCCATCTTGGTTCTAACCTCCACGCTGTCCTTGTTTACTCCTGGCCATAGGCTAAACTAACTTTGGGAGGAGCTTAGTTTATAGTTTAAAGCAAAGATGATACCCTTTCTGGAAACAAACCTCCTTCTTGCCTGGGGACTAGACTGCCTTTTTAGGACTAACATTTTGGCTACAAGATTGGAAATTGTTGTGGTTTAGGAGTCATGCAGCTGGAGGCTACAAGACTCTGACCCCTCCCCAAATTGCTCCTGGTGATAAAATCACTATTGTAAAACCTAAGACCAGTGCTTGAGATATTTTGCAGACCCTGAACTTGATGGATCAGGTGGCACCATCCAGATGATAAACTAGCTCATCTGATCCTGTGGCCCCCACAACACAGGAACTGACTCAGCGCAAGAAGACAGCTTTGACTCCCTATGATTTCATCTCTGAGCTGACCATCAGCACTTCCAGCTCACCGGCTTCCCCACACCCACCAAGTTGTCCTTAAAAACTCTGATCCCTGAATGCTACGGGAGAGTGATTTGAGTAATAATAAAACTCCAATCTCCTGGGAAAAAAAAAAAAAAAAAAAAAAAACACGGCCATACAAGTATTTAGATTTTATCCTGGCAAGGGGACTCAGAGAAGGCTCCCGACCAGAGGGAGTGCCTGGAAAGCAAGTCCACTTCAGGCTCTGGAGTGGGAAAATGAGTCCACTTCAGACTCTAGGGCCCACTCCTGCCGCCTCATCCTGGGAATTCACCACACACTTCGGGAGCCTGAGAGCTGCAGCCCAGGGTGCAAGTCTCTCATCTGACAGCCGGGAGGGGGGGTGGCCTCCCCGGTACAACTCTGAATATCCACACCTGGGGCCCACTGCCCATCCCACATCTAG